GGAAGATCCCACCTTCTCAATGCCAGGAGAGATCCCACCTTCTCTGTGCCAGAGGAGATCCAACCTTCTCTAACCAAGGGGAGATCCCACCTTCTCAATCCCATGGAAGACCCCCGCCTCTTGGACCCAGGGCGGAGAGGCTGTGCTGAGCATCCTGGGTGCCCAGATTCCTCTGATCACCACCAGGGCAAAGGGAGCCTGGCATGGCAAATCTCTGCCCCTTGGGGCCCTGGAGGGGGCCCCTTCCTGAGTTTCCCCAGGGCTCACTGCCAGCCTGTGGAGGCCCCATTGGGAAGTGGCATAATGCTGGCCCGGTGGCTTTGGTTTCCTAATCCTTGCTCCTCCTGGCTTGGGCCACTTGGCATCCCTCACGCGCCCAGGTCCCTGGGTCCCTGCGGGGAGGACGGTCCCTGGCCTGGGGCTGGTGGCACAGCAGCACAGGACGAGGGGTACATCCTGGGAGTAGTTGGCTCAGGGCCCTCGGTCCTGGTCACCCTCTCAGACCCTGGGGGACTCGCCCCTTGATGTCCTTGCCCTGCCGGGAACTGCTGGGAACTGTCAGGCGGCGTGAGAGGCCTCTTGGCCCTGGGTACCGTCACTGTGGCCTGGAAGGCCTGTCAGCAGAGGCTCAGGCACAGCGCTCAGGGATGGCCCGGGGGGTGCCAGGCCAGGGCTCTGATCTCAGCTCGTACTTGCTTCTGGTCACTGCCCCTGCGTCCCATGCCCCCATCCCCTGTGCGTCCCCCTTGTCCAGGGTCTCCATTACTGTGGAGATGAACCCCTTCCCACTCACCCCTGCCCCTGAAACTTGGGGACCACTGTTTTGGAATTCGAGCCTCCCCCACTATCTGAGCTTGCTGTCCACTCTCTCACTTGCTAATGTCAGAATCGCAATTCAGGATGCATGTCTGTTTTCTGGAGGAAGAAAGTGTAGGGAAGGGAGCCCCCAGACCTCAGTTTACCCACCTGGTGCACGGTGGGGCCTGCCTGTGCACTCCTGGGCTGGTCACTCTCTTGGGGGGGGGAGGCGGCGAGGGCTGCCATGGCTAGTGGCTTCCAAGGTTGGGGCAGGTACAAGTTCAAACGCCACACCATGATTCCTCAGGGCATTTCCGGACAGGTTTTGGGCTCAGCTCGAGGGTCTGAGATTCATCAGAGGCCACAACTCCTCTCTTTGGGGCAGGACCCTCCCACCGTGAGAGGTGTGGCCCCGGGGAGCCCAGGCAGGCTGTCCCTGCCCTCCAGCACCCTGTGGCCAGCACTCCGCTCTCCCCACACATCCTGGGGAGGCTGGGGGTGGGCAGGGCCTGTGCTCGGGGTCGGGGCCGCCTCCCTACCAGCAGCAGCCCTGAGGCCTGTGCATGCTTGTGGCCATGTCTGAGACCCTGGCCCTGTTCCCCACGGGATGGCCACTCGTGGCCTTGAGCCAGTTGCCCTGTGGCCCCAAGGACTGATTCCATAAAGCGTCCCCTGGCTGGGTTCCCCAAGTTCTGATTACATGTTACCCAGGGACTGGTTCCTCTTGGGGGAAGGAGGGGATTAGAAGGTGGGCTGGAGCCGGGGGCCCCTGATGGAGCTCAGTAAGCCGCCAGCCAAGATGGGCCCAGAGCTGAGCCCACACTGAGACAGGGTGGCCCCCGGGACCCCACAGGAGCCCACACCCTCCCTGCCTTGTGGGACTGGGTGCAGGGAGGGCAGGACCCCTGGTGAGGGAGGCTGGGCCCAGGCAATCTCCCAACCAGGCCAAGCAGCTGGTGCTGCCCAAGCTCCGTGGGGCATTGGACCCGGTGTGCTGGGGGCCCTGGGGAACAGCAACCTACAGGACGGGCTTCCAGCAGGGTCTCCCACCCGTGAGCCTGGTCCCGCTTATAGCGGGGAGGGACGAAGTTCCGAAGTTCAAGTTACCTTGGGTGTGTGTCGGAATTGGGGTAATTGGGTTTTCAGCATCCTGAGAAGGTCACCTTTACCTAGGCAGCAATAAAAACATAAACCTCAGCTAACCTGAGTCAATATTTCCTCACGGCCCAGGGGAGGACCCCACAGCTGATTTCTCTATAATCTGGCTAAGGCCCCACCCACCCCTCGCCCTTCCCCTGCCCTCTTGCCTTCTGATGGCCCTGCGGGGCATATAAGGCCTGGACACCTGTCCGCTGTTGCTCTCCCACACCAGCCTCTGAGCCACCATGGGGCTGCCACTAGCCCGCCTAGTGGCCCTCTGCCTGGCCCTGACCTTGGCCAGGGGCGAGGAGCTGCAGAAAGGTGAGGGGCAGCGGGCAGCGCTATGGGCAGCACGACCTGAGGGTACAGGACATCCGGGGCAGCCCAGCGCAGACGGTCCTACCTGGGAGGAGGAGGCGATCCTCTTCTGCCAGCATTTGGGGCAGCCTGGCATCTTCTGGGGTAGACAGGCTGGGTCCAGCTTCCTGCAGCCCCCACCCCTGCTGACTTTGGGTGGAGGGAAGGAAGGAAGGAGGAAGGGAACAAGGGAAAGAAGGAGGCAGGGAGGAAAGGACAGGTGGTCTTGGGCTCCCGTCATTCCTTTGAAAAGCCATCGCCAGCACAGAGCGTTCCCGGGGGTGATACCAGGTGGAAACACCTGCGCCAGACTGTCGTCCGTGGGTTGTGGGGAGGCCAGTCTAGGGACCTTGGGAAGGGGCAAGGCCAAGATGGCCACTTCTGAGGAGCCGGAGAGGTGGCTTCCAGCCAAAGAAGACCGAATGTGGGATGGGGACATCTCTATCCCGCAGGGCTGCGTGAGAAAGCCACCGGGGGGCCCTGGACCCAAATGGATGGACACAAAGTGGGGACCCTCGGACGGGTCCAGCACTGCCCTTCTGATGGATGAGAGGCGGCTGGGTGGGGCATGGAGTGGATGGAGTGTGGCAGTGATGGGGTGCTGGGTGGCACTGGGCCAGGTGGACAGGGCACTCAGGGAACCTGAGAGACCCCTGCCCCCACTGCCTGCTGGGCCAATGGCCATGTGCCACACCAGGCCGGGGTGCAAGGGCGCGACACTGGAGACGTCCTTTCTGGGGGCTGAGACCGCGGGCGAGGTGACCACAGTGTAGCAGAGGCCCCTCCTGCAGGACCACCTGAGCCGCTTCAGCTGCCTCTGGAGGGTCCTGAGGGCGGTGGCCGGGCTGGGGCCTGGGGACGAGCCTGAGGGCGGCCTGGGGGGCTCACGCTCCGTCCCGCTGTTCCCCAGAGGGCAGAACGCGCAACCACGGCCACAACGTCTGTAGCACCTGGGGCGACTTCCACTACAAGACCTTCGACGGTGACGTCTTCCGCTTCCCCGGCCTCTGCGACTACAACTTCGCCTCGGACTGCCGTGACACCTACAAGGAGTTTGCTGTGCACCTGAAGCGGGGCCCGGGCCGCAAGGGTGGCCACCCCCAGGTCGAGTACATCCTGTTGACCGTCAAGGACGACACGGTCTACCTCACCCCCGAGCTGGCTGTGCTGAATGGGGCTAAGTGAGTGCGGTCGGGCGGCGTCCCCCCACATCCTAGACAGGGGGCCCCGTGGCTTCTGTGAGCAAGCATGAGCCTGGCCAGCCCCCACAAGCCCCTCTCCACCCTGGCACATGGCTAAGGAGAACACCGGGGTTTCACTTCAGGTCACTGATTCATTCAGCAAACACTGATGAGCCCCATGGGTGAGGGACCAGGGAAGGGGTTTTATTTCTCCCACAGTCTTACAGCCCCATGGCTCACAGCCCACCAGGTTCTGGGCCTGCATGGGGGACAGGTGGCCATCCTTGTGGGGGTGGCCTGGCAGCCTCTGGGGAGGAGGCCCTATGCCCTGCTGTGCCAGGCTAGAGGTACAGATGCCCTGCAGCGGGGGGCTTTTGGGGGCCCCCAGCCCACCACCCCAGCCTTTGTTCCCCATTGTGTCCGGAACAATGGAGCCTAAGTGCATTCCTGTCTGGCGGCTCCCCACCTGCGTGGTCCGCCTTCTCCCTGCACCAGGGGATCTTGTTTCCCCTAGAGGCTGCAGCCGTGGCAGCCAGCCCCAGTCTCAGGGTGGGGGTGGGTACAGGGCCCACGGAGGCAGAGTTTGGGGTGAGCACAGAGCCAGGGCCCACCCTGGGCGGTGGATGGAGAAGCCCCTCCCCACTCTCAGGGCTGTCGTGGGGCTCCTGCCCAGGACAGACCCAGAGGAGGGGTGCAGAGACGGAGAACGGCAGGCAGGGTGTGGCTTCCTGTGAAGGAGCCCGGCCAGCCCAGGTGGAGAGGGTCTCTGGTCACTGCTCAAGTCCCCCGAGAGGGAGGACAAGGCCTTTCGTGGCCACAGGGTGGGAGCTGGCCAGGCAGGGCTGGCTGAGAGGCTGAGGCCAGGCCATCCCAGCCCACATGATGCACAGCCTCAGTCGCTTCTGGGCAGCGGGACCCCTGGGCCTGGCTGGGCGGCTCTGTGGGCTGGCTCGTGACCCTGTTGCCCCCCCAGGGTCAGCACCCCGCATTACAGCCCCGGGCTGCTCATCGAGAGGAACGACGCCTACACCAAGGTCTACTCCCGTGCCGGCCTCACCCTCATGTGGGACCGGGAGGACTCGCTCATGGTGGGTGCCGCCCCAGCGCCACAGGGCCCTGGGGGCCGAGGGGACTCCATCAGAGCTCTGGGACTCCAGGGGAGCAGTGGGTTGCCAGTGGTCCCATCCTCACCAAGAGCAGGGTCCATGGTGGGCTGGGAGTGTGGAGCAGCCTGTCTGCTGGTGGAGAAGGCTGGGGGCCGAGGCGGGGCCAGGCAGCCCACCCAGAAAGGCACCCTTGGGGCCTCGGGTGGTGGGCCAGCCCTCCCCATCTCCCAATCCCCTCCTGGTCCTCAGTGATGCCAGGACACCCCCTGGCTGACCACAGCCCTCCTGCTACACCCATTCAAACAAGTTGCAGGTGCTGCCTGGCCATGGCTGCTCACCTGCTCTCTCTTCCCCCGACAGCTGGAGCTGGACAGTAAATTCCAGAACCACACGTGCGGGCTCTGTGGGGACTACAACGGCCTGCAGAGCTACTCCGAGTTCCTGTCTGATGGTGAGGGCCTCCTCGGGGGCTTAGGGGGCAGGTGTGTGCAGACTCCCGGGTGCCCCTCGCTGACCGGCTGTGCCCCCCACAGGCATGCTCTTCAGTGCTGTCCAGTTCGGGAACATGCAGAAGATCAACAAGCCCGAGGTGGTGTGCGATGACCCCGAGGAGGGGCAGACCCCTGAGTCCTGCTCTGAGCACGTGAGTGGCTGGCCGGGGACCCCTGCCCAGGGGAGGAGCCATTCCCGGGGGGGGGACCCTATGGGAGCCGTGCCCACCCCTCTCCTCAGAGGGCCCTGTGCCCACTGGTCTCTGCTGGGGACCTCTGGCGGTGTGGAAGGGAGGAGGGCTTGAGCAGCCCCGCCCACTGCCCGTATCTGTCCACCAGCGCGCCGAGTGCGAGAAGCTGCTGACAGCCGCGGCCTTCAAGGACTGCCTGGGCCTGGTGCCGCTGGAGTCGTACGTACGGGCCTGTGTGCAGGACCGCTGCCAGTGCCCCTCGGGCGCCTCCTGCATCTGCAGCACCCTGGCCGAGTTCTCCCGCCAGTGCTCGCATGCTGGCGGGCGCCCCGGGAACTGGAGGACTGGCACTCTCTGTCGTAAGCGCCACGCGCATGAATCGGGAGGGCGGGGACCCAGGGGCACATGAGGGATGATCCACCAATCCACAGGGAGCACTGCAGCCTTGCCGGCCCAGGGCAGGGCAGCCTGGTGCCCTGGATCAGGAGCCACGTCTCTGCCCACCCTTGAGGCGGCCTTGGCTTTGGGGTGGGTGGGAGAAACCGCCTGGGTGGGAGTCTAGAGCCCTCTGGGTGCACCCCACGGGCAGGTCCAGCCTCTCCCCTCCCCCACCAGCTGCCCTCCACCCTTGGCGTAAGTGCCTCACGTCTCAGGGGCCGTCCTTTTCCCTTCTAGCCAAGAGCTGCCCCGGGAACATGGTTTACCTTGAGAGCGGCTCGCCCTGTATGGACACCTGCTCACACCTGGAGGTCAGCAGCCTGTGTGAGGAGCACCGCCTGGACGGCTGTTTCTGCCCTGAAGGTGTGCGCTGGGGCACCCACGGGCGTGCGGGGGCAGGAGGGGTGGTGCCCTGATACGGCCCACCCTCGCCTGAGGGCGCTGGGACCAGTGGCCTTGGGTTTTCCGCTGCACCAGGGGGAGAGCCATGCTGGGATGGTGGTGCAGGGTGGTGGGGTGCAGCAATGGCACAGGAAGCGAGGCACGGTGCCCCCACTGAAATCGAGGGACGAGGTACAGGGAGAAAGGGTACAAATGCTGAAGTTCCCACCTCATTCACACACGATGACGGCTTCTGGGAGTCTGGGGGAAGGAACCTTCCTGGTTGTCACCCCTTGACAGACCCTCTCCTGTCCGGCCAACGGAGCCTGGAGGACCCCGGGAAGGGGCCTGACTCTCAGGCCCCCATGGCATGTCCCTGACCAGACACTCTGTGGGGACCATGGTGTCGCCCAAAGGACCAGAGGTGCTTGTGGGAGGGAGGCCTGGCTGGCAGCCCCCCCTCGGGGATTCCAGCATCTTCCGGAGGCTGTCCCACGGCTGTGGCTTTGGCAATGGCAGCCCCATTGTGGGGAATCTGGCACTTTCCGAGGCCAGTGAGTGTAACGCCCCGCCCGGCACTGTCCCAGGCACCGTGTACGATGACATTGCGGGCGGTGGCTGCATCCCCGTGAGCCAGTGCCACTGCAAGCTGCAGGGACAGAAGTACGCGCCCGGCCAGCAGATCACCAAGGACTGCGAGCAGTGGTGGGTCCCGGGGGCCGGGGCTGGGGTCCAGATTGTGGGGGGTCCTGGGGATCTGGGCTGGGGGCCCGGCAGCCTAGGGGAAGTAGCTGGTCCTGACCCTGGGCCCCACTGCCTGCAGCATGTGCAATGCCGGCCGCTGGGTGTGCAAAGACCGGCCGTGCCCCGGGTCCTGTGCGCTGGAGGGCGGCTCCCACATCACCACCTTTGACGGGAAGAGGTACACCTTCCACGGGGACTGCTACTATGTGCTGACCAAGGTAGGTGGGCGTGGCGGGCAGGCAGGCACGTGTGGGGAGCTGGCTCTCCCTGCTCCCCTGCTCGTTCAGTGTCTCCGCCCTCCCCGCAGAGCGACCACAATGACTCCTACGCCCTCCTGGGCGAGCTGGCCGTCTGCGGCTCCACGGACAAGCAGACCTGCCTGAAGACGGTGGTGCTGCTGGCCGACAAGAAGCAGAACGTGGGTACCCCGCCCCTGCCCTGCCGGCACCCCTGGGGGCTCCATGGCCCTTAGCCCCACCGTCCCTTGGCCTTTCCCTCAGGTGGTGGTCTTCAAGTCGGATGGCACTGTGCTCCTGAACGAGCTGCAGGTGAACCTGCCCCACGTGGCAGGTGAGTCCTGCTCAGCCGCCCTGTTGGTTGGGGTGTCCCCCTGCAGCACCAGACCCTCTTGCTGAAGATGGTGGTCCCGGGGTGGGCCTGCCGAACAGCCCCTCTCTGCTCCTCACCGCCCCTCCCCTCTCCACCTGGCAGCGAGCTTCTCCGTCTTCCAACCGTCCTCACATCACCTCATCGTGAACACTGCCTTCGGCCTCAGGATGCAGGTCCAGCTGGTGCCGGTCATGCAGCTCTTCCTGACGCTGGACCAGGCCGCCCAGGGCCGCGTGCAGGGTGAGTGGCCCCGCCTGCTCCCGCGACAGAGCTCCACGTGGGGCCTACCCTGCCAGGCCCTTCCCAACCTGGTCCCTCGGCCCCTCAGGCCTCTGTGGGAACTTCAATGGCCTGGAGGGCGATGACTTCAAGACGGCTGGTGGGCTGGTGGAGGCCACGGGGGCGAGCTTCGCCAACACCTGGAAGGTCCAGTCGAGCTGCCCCGACAAGCTGGACTGGCTGGACGACCCCTGCTCCCTCAACATCGAGAGCGGTGAGGCAGATGGGGTTCCCGGTGGGACGTGGGGGTGGGTGGAGGTGAGATGGCCTGCCCCGTTGGGGGCCCGCCTGCTGCTTTCTGCCACATGTCTGGTTTATGGTGGCCCATGATGGCAGCCCACCAAGTGACCTGGCAGAGGTACTGGACCTGCCAATGGCTGGGTGGTGGCCCTCCTCCAGCGACTGGCCTGTGCCATGACAGGATACCCTCCCACCCGCTGTGCTGCCTAGCTCGTCCTGGGAG